TTGATGGCCAAAAAAATTTTTTAGCCTATAATTTTTAGAAAAAAAAATGAATCTTTTTCATAAGAAAAAGTATTTTTTTTTTTTTTTAAATTTCTCAACCCTGAGAACGAGTCTGTTTTTTTTTTATTATTTTATTATTAACACACTGGCCGATTCCCACCAAGGCAGAGTGGCCCGAGAAAGAAAAACTTTCACCATCATTCACTCCATCACTGTCTTGCCAGAAGGGTGCTATACACTACAGTTTTTAAACTGCAACATTAACACCCCTCCTTCAGAGTGCAGGCACTGTACTTCCCATCTCCAGGACTCAAGTCCGGCCTGCCGGTTTTCCTGAATCCCTTCATAAATGTTACTTTGCTCACACTCCAACAGCACGTCAACTATTAAAAGCCATTTGTCTCCATTCACTCCTATCAAACACGCTCACGCATGCCTGCTGGAAGTCCAAGCCCCTCGCACACAAATCCTCCTTTACCCCCTCCCTCCAACCTTTCCTAGGCCGACCCCTACCCCGCCTTCCTTCCACTACAGACTGATACACTTTTGAAGTCATTCTGTTTCGCTCCATTCTCTCTACATGTCCGAACCACCTCAACAACCCTTCCTCAGCCCTCTGGACAACAGTTTTGGTAATCCCGCACCTCCTCCTAACTTCCAAACTACGAATTCTCTGCATTATATTCACACCACACATTGCCCTCAGACATGACATCTCCACTGCCTCCAGCCTTCTCCTCGCTGCAACATTCATCACCCATGCTTCACACCCATATAAGAGCGTTGGTAAAACTATACTCTCATACATTCCCCTCTTTGCCTCCAAGGACAAAGTTCTTTGTCTCCACAGACTCCTAAGTGCACCGCTCACCCTTTTCCCCTCATCAATTCTGTGATTCACCTCATCTTTCATAGACCCATCCGCTGACACGTCCACTCCCAAATATCTGAATACATTCACCTCCTCCATACTCTCTCCCTCCAATCTGATATCCAATCTTTCATCACCTAATCTTTTTATCCTCATAACCTTACTCTTTCCTGTATTCACTTTTAATTTTCTTCTTTTGCATACCCTACCAAATTCATCCACCAAGTTGCAGAGGTTGGTGGATGAATTTGGTAGGGTATGCAAAAGAAGAAAATTAAAAGTGAATACAGGAAAGAGTAAGGTTATGAGGATAAAAAGATAAGGTGATGAAAGATTGGATATCAGATTGGAGGGAGAGAGTATGGAGGAGGTGAATGTGTTCAGATATTTGGGAGTGGACGTGTCAGTGGATGGGTCTACGAAAGATGAGGTGAATCATAGAATTGATGAGGGGAAAAGGGTCTGTTGTGTTGATAATAAGTGAGACTTTTGTTGGGTTGGTCGGAGCTAGGAATAGTGTGTTCGGGTAGGTGCCAGTGAGGTAGTTGTTAGGTGGGGTGTTTGAGCTTGGGATTTTGCTCGAAAGATTTTTTCCAATGGTGGAGAAGAAAACATTGAGTCTGCTGTTTCAGTCTGTGGAAGTTGGGGTTCATCTGGTTTTGTTAGTTTGATTGTTCTGTTTCCTGATAACTTTTTAGTTCTTATAATTTCAGATAGCATTTTCCAGGTCTTTTTCATATTACCTTTTAAGTTAAGTAATCTGTTCTCATAATAAATTTTTTTTGCCCTTCTTATCAGGCTGGTTAGGATTGACAAGTAACATTTTGTTTGGTCTCTGGTTATTTGGCCCATTCTGTACTGTTTTTCATATAGATGCTTTATATTTATGGATTTGAGGATGCTGGGTATTAGCCAGGGATTGTTCAGTCTCTTAGCTGTGGTCTGTGTAGTTTTTTTAGGGCATTGCTTGTTATAGAGGTATTGGGTCATTTTTAGAAAATTATTAATACATTTGTCAGTATCTGTACAGATTTCTAGCTCAGTTTGCCAGTCGATGTTTGTCATTGATATTGCAAAGTTTTTAACCCTTTGACTGTTTTGGTCGTATATATATGTCTTACGAGCCAGTGTTTCGGAAGTATTAATACCCATAAATTCTAGGGGCTTCAAATCAAGCAGGAGAAAGCTGGTAGGGCCACATGTGAGAGAATGGGTCTGTGTGGTCAGTGTGCACCACATAAAAAAAATCTGCAGCACGCAGTGCATAATGAGAAAAAACAAACTCAGACCGACTTTTGGGATTAAAACGCCGATTTTGAGGTGTATTTTTGTATAGCATTTATCGTTGTATTCTCGTTTTCATGGTCTCACGTGATAAAATGGAAAACATAGTACAGAAATAGAGATGATTTTGATTAGTTTCACAATGAAAACGACCTTGAAATTGAGCTCAAAGTAGTGGAAATGTTCGATTTTTACCAATGTTCAGGAGTAAGCAAATCACACCACACATCAAATACACGTCAACTGGGGAGTCTAACATTCTTTCACTAGTTCACGGATATTATTTATGTCATTTTTATAATAATGCAGCCGTCTGCATAACAGTAAATTTTGTATTTTTTGTATGAATAAAAAATCAAAATAGAAAACAGTGGTAATATAAGAGGGGCCTAGAGACGTGACTAATGAACAGAGGATATGTTATTTTAGTGCCAAGAATGTCTACCTTGTTTATTCTGGGCCCTATTTTGAAATTGGCATCTTTTTTAATTCGCATGAAATTGGCCAAATTGCCACTTTCTGACCACTTTATTGGGTAGTTCAAATCGGTAAAGGGGCAGTTTCGTGTACTAAACTGATAGAAAAAATGGAGTTCTAAAGAAATAGCTATGAGTTTGATCAGCTAGAACAATGGAATCGGCCAAAAGCAGGGCTCAAAGTTGGCAAAATCGCCGATGCATATATGTCGCCGAGATCGTTAACTTCGGGGGAGCGTAATTCTGTGAGTTTTCTACCAAATTTCGTACTTTTGGTGTCATTACCATTGGGAAAAGATTCTCTATCGTTTCATCAATATTTTTTTTTTTTTTTTTTTTTTAAATTTTGCGACATAGAATGACAATTTCAGAAAGGGGCTCGCGACAATCAAAGGGTTAATAGCTGTCTCATTATGAAGTCTGAAGGTAACTTCAGTAGTGTCTTGGGGAAATTTACCTATATTGGTTATGAGAAAGGTTGAGTAGTGGTCTGTGGTGTTATCTGTGATTATGCCTGATTTTAAAGGGGATATGGTGTTGGTCCAGATGTGGTCTAATAAGGAACCACTGGTCTCCGAGATTCTTGTAGGTTTTGTTACTATTGGTAGCAGCAAGTAGTTGCTCGTAGTGTTTGTTAATTCAGTTATTTGTGGGTCCTGATCTTGCAGGAGATTTATATTGAAGTCTCCTCTGCATAGCAAGTGGTCTTTGTTCATGTGTGCATCAGTTATCATGCTTCCTAGTTTTTCACTAAATAGGTTAATGTTTGACTGTTACACTCTGTAGATGTTTATCACTGTGAGAGGTTTTTGTTTGTATTTGTATTTAAATTTAGCTCTTATATATTTGCCATGTTCATCCCTTGTGCAAGTATTATTGATACATTCAAGTTGGTCTGAATAGTATGTAGCTGTGCCACCCCCTTGTTGGTCTGGCCTACAGGTGTGTATGGCTGTGTTACCAGGAATGGCATAGACATCTGTAGCATCAGGCTTTAGCCAGGTTTTGGTGAGTGATGATGGACATACTGGCTTGCAGGGAATTTAGTAATGCTGTGAGGTCATTGTAGTGTTTGCTTAAAGATCTGACATTGTAGTTGTTGGCTTTGTGGAGTGCCTTTGATTGTTCTGCTGTGTAATAATTACAGTTGCTGTTTGATTCATGTAAGTCATTTAGTAAGAGGTTGGTATCAGGATCATTGCTTGTAATCATAAGATTGAGAGTGATTCTGTAACTAGACTTAAGACTAAAACAATGTAAATATTCTAAAGCTAAAAAATAAAGGAGCTAGGGAATATAATAGTAAAATAATGAAAGTATTACACTTTAGCACCTGAAATAGCACCTTTAATTATTTTAACAAATGTGAATATATGAACTAAGGTAGTTATTTGAAGCTAAAATAAAGGAGCTAGTGAATATAATAATATAACAATGAAAGGAAAACAAGGCACATTCTCCCCTCTTTCTCAGCTCTTTACCAAAGGGCTGGCTGGCACTAGAAGCTTTCTTTGGGCCCATGGTGGCTTATTTAGCAGTTACAAGCACTAAAAAGAATGGAATAATACAAAATGTATCGTATGAATGCGTGGGATCATCCTCACTGGCTGGTAAACAATGGCACACTGGGCAACTCAGGCCTCGACACAAATGACTTATACAGAGTTCAGTGACGTTCACCGAGCCAATATTTTGATGCAAAAATGTTACTTATTCTGATTGTTATTTATTGCGATGATGTCTTAATCCAGGGGGTCCACTGTATTTGTTTGTTTACCGACAACTCAGGCTCATGACAGGCTCTCTGACCATTACACATACCTAAATAATGTATATTAGAGCTGATTTCCTCTCTTCTGTTTAATACATATAAAGTAAGCTAATGTATAAACATTTAAAAATATACTAAATATGTTATAAATAGTGCGAAAGTGACATTAAAACAATATGAAAGATGGTTGACAAACCCACTACCATTGTATTATGATCCTCACTTAGCAACAAATTCGTTTTCCAACGTGGTCTCAAGAACGGAACTCTGTAATTAAGAGAGGAGAGGCTGTACTTTTATTTGTTAACATATTACTGTACTTATTGTTTACTTTTTACTGTACATATTTTTTGTTAACTTATTACATGTGTGTTGATGTTTGACTTGTGTACTGTTGATAAAGTTAGTTTTGTTCACTCTTATTATTCGTTAACATTCTGATAAATGTTAACTTTCTGAGCTTCAGATTAGTGTTGTAATATATTAACACCTATGCACTAGTAGCAAATCTGCTTTACAAATCTGCTTAACAAATTTTAGTTTTGTTTTTAAGTATCTTTATTTCTTTTAAAAAGTTTTTTGTTCATTTTTTCCACAGAGAATATATCAACGCTTCCTCTCCAAAGAACACGTAGGTTTGCTTTTGTTATGCTGTACTTAATTTTGTCTGTGTTTATTTTGTTTTCAAACTATAAATATTGAATCTTTATGTATATATTTTATAAGTTATTAATATTTTATGCAATACTTTAGTTTTATACACTACATACACAAAACATGTACATATACCCTATACCTTCTCCCCCTCCCTCCTTATTCTCCTCCCCACCTCATCTTCCCATTCCCCCACCCCACATCATCTTCCCCCTCCCTTTCTCCCCTCCCCAGTTTCAGAATTTGACACCCACGTATTAAACAAAGTGGTAAATAACCTGAAAATAATTTCATAATCTTCAAAACAGCAATAAGCACTGTGAGAGTTACAAAATAATCAATGCTGTGGTTGGTATGAAACTTGAACAACAAGATGCACATTAAAATAGGAAATAAATAAATGATGAGCTATATTAAAAAATAAAGCACTGGATGAGAAATAAAAATTTGTACTAAATAGAATTAATTGGTATGAAGCAGAGTGTAAAGTCAAACCTGGACAAGGCATACTATAATAATGCATCTTGGGAAGAGTGGCTCCAGGAGTGTCAAATAAAATCAAGAACTAACAAAAGAAATTAACCCTTTGAGGGCCCAGACCCCCCATTCTGAAAACTCCCCACGAGGTACAGTGGACCGCCACTGATCGGCAGCTGCGACTTTCGTGAAATCCAACTTTCAACAAGTTTTTTCTCCAAAATTTAGATTCACAGTTCGTGATTGGCCTCGTGATTTGGCGACCGTCTGGTATGCGTCCGCTGTCAGCGCACACACAAAGCCAGTCTCCCACACCATTCACATTCAGTGTGCCATTGTTTATCAGTGAGTGACCATCACCCCACGGGTTCATACAATACATTTCATAATAATCCATTGTTTTTTGTGCTTGCAACTGCTAAATAAGCCACCATGGGCCCAAAGAAAGCTCCTAGTGTCAGCCCTTTGGTAAAGAAGGAAAGAAACACAATAGAATTCAAGAAAAAACTCGTAGCAAAGTACCAAAGTGGAGGAGCAAGAGAGAGGGGAGAATGTGCCTTCTTCAGTGATTCAGTGATTCTATGATATGTATGATACTAAAGCAGTAGGTATCGATAAGAGCTATAGTGCCAGCCAGCAATAAGTGTAGAAATAACAATGTAGCGAGTAAGTTATGCGAGTAAGCGATAGAAAAACGACACAAAAGTAACTCTCTAATGTTGTTGGAGGTATATAGGACCAATGAACATAAGCCGCCCTGCTATCTTCCACCACTCTAAACCTCTGCCAACATCTTCTCCATCAAATTAACTAATTAAACTAACATCTCCTCCAAGGTAAGTGCAAATATTTCTTATTATAAACTAAAATGTAAATATACCTTATTTATAAATTAAAATGTATATATTTCATATTTATAAATTATGAACATTGTTTAACTCTTAACCCTTTCAGGGTCCAGAGGCCAAATTTCAAAGTGCACCCCAGGGTCCAAGAATTAAAAAAAAAAAATTTGTTTTATTTTTTCTTATGAAATTGTAGAGAATCTTTTTCTGAAGGTAATAAAACAAAAAGTATGAAATTTGATAGAAAATTGACGAAATTATGCTCTCGCGAATTTTGATGTGTCGGCAATATTTACAAGTTGGCGATTTTGCTGACTTTGACTCCCATTTTAGACCAGTTACATTATTCCAGTCAACCAAATTCTTAGCTATTTCACTAGTATTACTTCTATCAATTGAGCACAAGAAATCGCCAAGTCAACTGTTTCAACTACAAAATAAAGTGATGGGAAATTGGTAATTTGGCCAATTTAACACAAAGTTCAAAATATTCCGATTTCAAAATAGGGTCCAGAATAAACAATGTAGGTATTCCTGGCACTAAACTAACATTTCCTCTGTTCATTAGTTATGTTTTGAGGCTTTACAAATTAATTCCATTTTGATTTTTTATTCACATAATGAGTTTTTAATCAAACAAAAAAATAGAAGATTTACTGTTATGCAGTATTGTAACAATTGTATAAATATCATACTAGACCCACTAGCTGGTGTGTATTAGACGTGTGAGGTCGTTTGTTTACTCTTGAACATCGGCAAAAATTTAACATTTCCGCTACTTTGAGCTCAGTTTCAAGCCATTTCCAGTACTAAAACCAATCAAAATCATCTCTATTTCTGTAATATGTCTTCCATTCTATCAAATGACACCAAGAAATCGCAAATACAACTATAAAAAATATATGAAAAGACACTGCAAAGTCGCTGTTTTAATCGAAAATCACAGTCTCAGTTTTTTTTCTCTCATTATACACTGTGTGCTGTAGGATTTGTTTTATGTGGTACACACATACCACATAGATGTATTCTCTCATATCTAGGCCCAGATTTACCACTCACAGCTTACCAGAGTAAGCTGAGCTCATGGCGTAGATCTACGGTTTGGACCTTGAACGTAAAACCGTAGATCTACGACGCAGATGCTGAAAGGGTTAAACTGTCCAAACATAGATCTACGTTCACCTGCGTGGCGCTCCGAATATTTTGAAAAACAATTATTTTTTTTTTTGTTTTTAAATTAACCCTTTCAGGGTCCAAGGCCAAAATTGGGAGGGGTGCCCCAGTGTCCAAGAAATTTTGAAAAAAAAAAAAAAAAAAGTTTTCTTAAAGAATTAAAGAGTATATTTTTGTGAAGGTAATAAGACAAAAAATAAATTTCTGATTAGTACTTACCGAGATACAGAGGCGAGAAGTTGACCCAAAATGGCCGGGTGGCTGCAACATCGGCGATTTCTGCAAATTCGTTTTTTTATACTTTTTTCTTTTCTTTTCTAATTTTTTTCTTTTCCTAGTAACATTTGTGGCCTGTGAGACCAATACTGTATATAATGTACAGTGGAACCTCAAAAATCAAACTGCTCCCAACTCGACCAATTATGTAAGTGTATTTTTGTAAGTGCTTTTATAAGTGTATTTTTGAGGGTCTGAAATGGACTAATCTAATTTACATTATTCCTGATGGGAATAAATTCGTTCAGTAGCGACACTTGAACAGCCTTCTGGACTGAAGAAAGTTCTATATTTGAGGTTCCACTGTATATATATAAACTCACTGTATTGAACACAATAACCACACTAAAGTTATTATTATAATATTGTTTACCACTTTTTTTTATTACAATAAACATGCACAAATCTTGTATAATACTAATGTTCTATCATATATTTACATATGTACAATCACTGGACAAGTTTTTAGAGCTGCTGCAGCTTGTGGAACTCCTTGAAACAAGGCACCATGCACAGGGGTACCTTGCATTCCTCGCACATAAACCGAGTGTCTTTGCGTCTTTGTTGCTGTTGCTTTGTTTGTGCACAGAAACACATCTCTTCTGAGAAAATTTCTTCTTAGTTGCAGGAAGCTGTATTATGAAGTGATCACCTTCCCTCCTCAAATGCTTGGGTATATCCTGAGGAGTTCGAGGACGGTTTTGTATAGCATGTGTTGTTACCTGGTATTTCATTATGAGTTGTCTGACAACAAACAAAATTCACCTTACGGTGGTCTGTTGCCAGTCTTCACTTGGTACATATTATATGCATTGGGCATTGAAATGTCCATGAGATGGAAGAAAAGTTTCATGTACCACTTGTAACTCTTACGAACACAATCAACAAAGCCAATCTGCACGTCACATTTGTCAACCAAGCACATGTTTTGTGTATAATCAATCACTGTCACTGGTTTTCAAATACATTCATTAGTCACTCTATCAACTTTACCACTGTCTTGCATTTCGTTAGGGTGAATGGTTGTCAACAATGTGACATCTCGTTTGTCATGCCACCATAATGCCATGATGTCATTAGCAGTAAAAACCTGCACCTCTTCACCATGAGTGCCTGCGTTGAACCTGGGCATATGTTTACGATTAGAACGCACTGTGCCACACACATCTGTCATGTTCACTCGCAAGAAATCACTGAGTAAAGGGCTTGTGTCCCAGTTATCAGTATATAATGTATGCCCCTTACCTAGATAAGGTGCCATCATGCTTCTCACTACGTCACCTGAGATACCCAATAACATCCTGGTATCTTTCAATGTTTTATTTCTCATGTACACAGCAATATCGAATACCAGGCCACTGTCACAGTCACAGAGTACAAACAGTTTTATACGAAGCATTTCCTCTTATTCAGTATATACTGCTTGAACGACAGTCTACCTTTGAACAAAATCAAAGACTCGTCAAGTGCAAGATTCTTGAATGGATAAAATTACATGTTGAACTTTTGTTTCAGGTACATAAAAATATTTCTAATCTTGTATAACCTGTCACTTCTGTCAGGCCTGGTTTTGTCAGAGAAGTGCAACATACGTAACAGTAAGATAAACCTGTTCACTGGGATGATTTCTCTTGAGACCGGGATACAAATTAGCCGATCTGTGGACCAGTATGATTTTATATTATGCTTATAGACATGAGGCATAAGCATTATTGTTGCAAAAAGCAAATACATTTCTGCAGCAGTTGTCTCTTTCCACTGGTGTAGTCTTGACTGTGATGATATGATCGTATTTGCCATGGTGTACTCAAAATACTTATTACTTTCCCTGACAATAGTTTCCATCAATGGCTGGTCAAAGAATAGTTCAAAGAATTCCAGTTCATTTGCAGTGTTTCCAAGGGGACAAGTAGGTAGAATTCCACTTTGAAAGTCATCAAACTGGTGGGGCTTGGGAACAAAATTGGGATTTTGCTGCCAATCGCAGATACTGTTTGCTTGTGGAAACTGGACATCATAAGCTGGTTGTGCTGGTAGTTGTGGTTGTGGTGGGCTGGTGGCTGATGCTCCGCTTTGTTCTTGAACTGAGGAGTCAGCAGCGTGGGTCCCAGCCTGGGCTGGCGAGTCATACATGGCCGTGGCACTACCATCACCACTACCACCACCTACTGATGCCTGTGGTCTATCCATGCCAAGTGTAGCCACA